TCAAGTGAAAAGCGTAGTCGTTGGTTCCTAAAGTAAACTGCATATCGTCCTTAGCGTATCCTTGATTCTTTGTTGGCTAACTTGAAGTAATTCGGACTAGGTTTTACCATTATAAGACCAAATCCCAAATCCAAACCATTATTTGTGACCACTTTCCATTTTACAAGAATCACTCATCTCAACGTTCACTATTCATTAAAACTTTAGAGTTTGGAAATTATTTAGAAGCCCTTGAAGATCGATACTTGGATACTCCATCCATTTTATATTACTCTGACAGGTGTACGCTTGCATCTATAGAATTGTTACCACGCTTAGTGCGTGCGTTCAACATAAACCACCAGTCAGCGCTACTCTGATTTTCAACACTCACGAGAGTTTGAACAATTAGAACAACAACACTAAAGTTTTAAGAGAAACTCAAATCCTATACAGATAAACCATTTATTACCGACTTCACCTTAACCTAACCCTCCAAGGAAATCTTTATTAACTATAAACCATCCACTAAATGAATGTTACCATCTCAAATGGCAATGAAGCAAAAACTAATTCAAGTACGAACAACTTAAACGAATGTATTCATAACTATCCTATGTAGATTACAATCCCGTAGTTCAAGAGACTAACAAGGTTAATGCTCGAAAAGAATAATGAATCGGCACCCTTACAATCATCCTTTAGACAATAAAACTAAACAAAACCAACCACTACCAACTCAACTACAAGATTAAATGGCCACAACTATCCTAACTAAAAGAAATTAATTTCACGCAGCATAGCTAATGGCCTTTCGGATCAAGTCTCCTCCTCGCCATCACCATCCCAAGAGCTAGCTCGATACCTGGAAACTGGAGGGGAAAAAGAGGGATGAGTACAACCACAGTACTCAGTAAGCAGCCCTTGTTTGAAGGGTCACGCACAAACAGCATACTTATCAAGGAACAACGTGTCATGCTTATTAAAGAATCAACACACACACATCATGCTCAACCAAATCATGAAACATTCATTGTTATGATTTTCATCACATTATGCATTCAAACATAGACACATTCTATAAAACTCGGTGACAACCACAACCAGGAACACATTAACTACCAACCTCTAGTCTCCCTAACATCTCAAGTACCTCTACGCTTATCACCGCTACTCTAGCCTTCCACAGTTAACTCCTTCGAGCAGAGTCGGCCCCTGACCATTTATACCCAGAGCCCCGACCCTGCAGCATCGACCCTCGACCATTTATACCCGAGGCCCCGATGACTTCACCGTCTATTGGCCCTTGACCATTTGTACCCAATGCCCCAATAGTTCTCCTTTCGAAAGACTCCTCGCATCGACCCCCGACCATTTATACCCGAGGCCTCGATACCCAATTAGTGACGTATCAGCCCTCGAACATTTATACCCGAGGCCCTGACACTCACCAATTCACTTCGTAACTTTCATAACTCCACATATCATTTCTAGCCTCCAACCAGGATTTCAGTACTACTTCCCTAATAACACCAACCACCACAACGCCCATCACGACACAACCACTAGTATGATTTCAATGCATCACAGATCTCAAAAACACAAAGTTTGACAACAACCAACCTGCTCACAGCATAGCGCACACAAAGCTTCAACAAACAACCCTATGACATTCTTCACATAACATGCTTTTCACAACCTAACAAATCCTAATCACTTCCAACCATACAATATCAGTAAGTTCCTAAAGTTGCAGACAACAAACATGAATACCAGTCATATACATATCCAATATATATAAAATAACCGCAAGTTACAATAACAGCATCGACCTCACAAACCTGTCCAACAATTAAAATAATAAGAGAAACATGTTTATAATGTAAAATCAGCAAGAACAATTTTTATTAACACAGATCAACGCACACACCCGCCCACGTGCTACTTACTTTGTTATGTCCCAAAATTCTCATAAGAGTCCTACTTGCTACTACGCCATGCCTCAAGCATCAACAATCTCATAATAGTCCAATATGCGATACACCAAAATGATCATATGTAACAGCCAATCAATCTAAAATAGTCCAACAAGATCCAACAGCTCCAGCAGGCATCATTCACAGAAAAAGCACAATCAACCACTTAACCAAAATATAATTGATAAATACCCAGCATACATCAAACACAACCGATTTCTCATAAATATTCAATACGCTTTCGAAACACTAGATTATAGTACCGGTATACAATTTTCATCATGAAAACCAATTAGAACATAATAGCAATTCAACCATAGTCATCCAGGATTACCTAGCTACAATTTGTTCACACAACCACATACTTTTCCCAAGATATATCAACAGTTTCATAAACAATGACGTTTACTAAATGATAACAACGACAAGCGACATGCAAGTATCACACATGGGCACACGAGCAAACAATCATATCATATCAGCACACAACAACCAATCCCTCCAGTAAGAAACTACTTACAACCATTAGCCAATATTCATAAGATACAATTAACTTACATATTAATAAATATTAAACACACCGAAAGCACCACACAATTCATACATATTCAATCAACAAACATCCCCCAAGTAAGAACTACTTACACAAATGTCCTAACGCGTCACTAACACCTTAATAATCGACACCTAAACAAAAGATACCAATCTTTGGGTTAGAATCCTACTGAAAAACACTTAACTTGCATCAAAACTAAGTTTAGGTGATTTGTTACCGACTAACTCACCCTAAAACCTGTTGGGTTAGGAGTGGGTCGACGCCGAGGATGTTCAGGCACCCAAAACAAAGCTCCAATTGCCTTGTGCTAGCTAGCCTGATGAAGAAAAACGATGGGAACTCTGATTCGAGTCCGAAATGGAATGGGTCAACTCCGAATGTCGCCGGAACAAAATAACACCACGAAACTTGCTGGACTTCACTAATCTAGGATGTTTAAAGTCGTCGGAGGGATCGCGTTGCTGGTCACGGAGATCAGCGCCAGAGAGAGCCGCAAATATGGTTGTTCGGCGGCTACAAGTGTCGGTTCTGCTCGAATCTCACCATCGTAGCCCTGCTGAAACGTCGAGGTCCGATATCGCTGTCGTAGGACGCCGGATATGAAGTTGAATCGGGCAATTCGGCGAAGACATGCCTTGTTAATTTAACCTACAAGAGAATGGAATGGAAAAGAAGGGACCTAGGGTTACTTTTGGGTTATTTCCATGTTTTCTTTTATTTGTTTTATTTTATCAACATTTTTTTTTCACTTATTTAGTTTTCAAAAATTAGAAAGCCCAATAACCCAATAAAAGAAGGCCCAAAATTAAACTTTTATAACCCAACTAAAACTCACAACAACTCGACAAAATAATTAATTTAACCTCTGCAATCCAAAAGTTAAATCAAAAAAGAAAATAAATTAATTTAAATTTCCAAAAACCTTGGATTTAAGATTTAATTAAGAATCTAATCAAAAGTTCGAAAACTTAATTTATCTTAATCCAACGAAATTAAACTTAAATCTGATTTACCCAAAGTTAGAACTCCAAATAAAAAGAAAATCAAGTAATTAAATTATGAGCTTAGGGGAAAATCCAAAGGGACAAATTAAGTCGTAAAGTAAATTAGCCAGAGAACGCGGGGCGTTACATATCAGACCCCGACCATTTATACCCGAGGCCCTGACACCCACTCTTTCCTTCCTTCCAAAAATCCAACATTTACCAGAGTCTCACCATAAACTTTCTGATACCACCAACCCGGCATCTTTCATCTCACAAGTACAATTCAACATGTTTCACAACCCAGACGACTTTTAAAAAAAACGAGATAATAACCCAATCATGCTCGATATCCAACATCATTATTTAACAAGTATTACTACGGATAATAGCTCACAAAACACGCCGAACTAAACATGCATATCAAGCAACCAACATTTCCACAGCAATACTCAACAGTTTAGCAAGCAGAAATCTCACTATTTTCATCGACAAACCTCCAACACAACTTCAAGTATATCGACTAACACAACGACAATTAATTAGCACAAAGACGTAAAAGAATTTGCATAAATCGCTACAAAATCAGCACGTTAGAGACCATTTCGCATACATTAACACACGCACACGCCCCTTGTCTACTTACACACTATCGCGACCTTAAGTTTTGCGTCGACCTCACACCTAAGCACACCAAAACAGAAAATACAGCACGTTACGTACGCTATTTAGCCTTCGAAATCAACTCTAAAAGGGTTCGAATGGCGCATTACCACCAAAACCGACTTCGTATAGATGTGGGTCACCTAGATCTAGCTCGCCAAGGTGTGGGTAGCCTAAATCGAGCTT